TCTTTCCCTCTGACCCTTCCTTTTTGACATGTGCCCTTCCCCCTCCTTTGTGTGGTTGCCCCCAGAGTAGTCTGCTTCAGCAAGCTATCAAGAAATGGTGAAGTGACTGTCACAAAAGTCCTGCTCTGATACCCTCAATGCTGTTTCCTTTCTGGGGGTACAGGGTACTCAACCAATTGTGGTCGTGCAGCCGGATGCCTGGACAGAGGGCGGTGGCTTCCATGGTGAGTCTTGCTGTAAGCCTTCATCCAGAGGAGTATGGGGTAGAGGGCCCAGGTTAAGTGTGCAGATTACTGTGATGATTTTAGGTCTAAATGTCCTGTTTAGATCAACTGGAGTGGATGGTGCACCTGTGTGGGGCTCCGGAAGGCCATAGGCATGTACCTGCGTCATATGGGGTGGGAAGAGTTTGATTCAACACAGGTCACCCAGTGCTTGATTAACATAGTTCTCAGCACATTCTAGGTGCTCAGTAAATATTTGTTGAATGAACGAATGAATGGCTAAAATGTCCTTTTAAAACTTTGTTGTTGTTTGTTTGTTTTGCATTATAAAAGTAGTGCATGAACTGTTTCCACGGGGGGTGGTGTGTGCTTAAATATGAAAATTCATCACATAAAATATAAATGAGCACAAACACAGCAAAATAATCCCAGCAATCCCACCACTTGGAGATGATCACCAGAAAATTCTTCTAAGCCTGGGTGTATATGTATGTACACACATATATTTTATACAAATGTGATCATGCTCATCATACTGTTTTGCTTTTTCACTTAAGATATGGCAAACGTGTTTCCACGTCATTAAATTGCAGTGCTGTTTTGCTCTCTCTGGTGACTTTTCCTTTAACAGATTGGAGCTCATGTTAATAAAGTTGCCAGAGGCTGTAGGCTTTCACCAGCAGTCAGTCCTCAGACTTTTGAGTAAAGTTCTATGTCCTGAAGCACTGCTGAAGATCAGTGATATTCCTCCTGCCTAAGTCACTCTAAGAACTCATCCAACCAGTTGCCCCAAGTAGATTGACTGAAGTCTGGTCTGGGGAGATGTGAATTGACACTAATCTCTGCTTGTGTCCTCTGTCCCCAGTCATCGGGCAGATGTGTGAAGCACCTGTGGTGACCCGAGAGTGGGTATTGGACAGCGTAGCCCTCTACCAGTGCCAGGAGCTGGACGCCTACCTGATACCCCAGGTCCCCCAAGCTGCTGCTGATTCCAGCCAGCCATGTATATAGGGGATAGGGCCCATCTCTGCAGGACCTCAAGAATGAGCTTAAGAAATGACCTTTTTCCAGGCCCAGGGAAAGGCCTTTTCAGTCCTTCCACAGCCCCGATTCCTAAATATTTTATGTACATCAGCCTGAAAAGAACTTCTGGCTCTGCAAGGGTCCCTTAAAGATTTTCTGCTTCAAGTCTCCCTTTGAAATCTGCCATGAGCACAAAATTGTGGTAACTTTTCACCTGAAAAGAATTTAAAACTATTTAAACCCCACCAATTGAGCAAGATGCTGGTTCATTATTTATCAGCCTTATTCCTCGTCCTGGGGCTGTCGGCTTTGAGCTGGAGGCACAGAGTGGTTGGTCTCAGGAGAATAGCTGGTTTCCCTAGATTTGTTTCTCAAAACCCTTGTGTTCTTAAAGTCCAGGAGTCAGATCCTTCAATGGAAGGTGAGTACTTGGGGATCTGTGCTATGACTTAAAATCAGAACAGTCCTTGGACAGCTCTCAAGTGTTGGAGTGGAGCATTGGGGAGGAAATCCAGAGGTGGTAATGGATATAATATGAAATTTGACGGTTAATTAGAGGAGAGGGGAGTCTTGCTGACCCTGATCTCCAAAAGTCTGGGCTATAGTCGCTGGGCTTCTAAAGAATTTCTTAACACTGATGTGCTCTGAAACAGCAGAATCTTTTCAAGAATTCTGGTGTCCAAAGAGAATCTTCTAATTCCCCATTAGTGACAAATAAAATGTTTATTGTTGTAGCTCTGATATGTAACCCATTCCTCTTGAAATATAAGATCTCTGATATGAATATTTCATGTCTGTAAGATGATGGATCCCACCAGGAAAGGAGCTGTTTGCTTTCCTTGAGGTAATTTTTTTCCCTTTGCTCCCTATTGCTGAACTGTACAGATTCATAAATAATTTTGTTTGCTGAAGGAAGAGAAAGTGTTTTTCATAAACTCATTATCCAGGACTGTTTATAGCTGTTGGAAGGACTAGGTCTTCCTTAGCCCCCCAGTGTGTGCAGGCCGTAGAGACTTGATTGTACAAAATATGTTTTGTAAATGTGCTTTTCACCTGGAAATAAACTTGGTAGCAAACACTTCCACCAAGTATGACTGTTCTAAAGGCTCACACCTGCAGACTTTCTCAGAGCCTTTTCTCACTGTACTTTCATCTCCTCATCTGTAAAATGGGGATAATAATAGTACCTACCTCCTAGGGTTATCAAGGGGACTTCAAAACCTTATTATAGGGCTTCCCTGGTGGCGCAGTGGTTGAGAGTCCGCCTGCCGATGCAGGGGACACGGGTTCGTGCCCCAGCCCGGGAAGATCCCACATGCCGCGGAGCGGCTGGGCCCGTGAGCCATGGCCGCTGAGCCTGCGCGTCCGGAGCCTGTGCTCCGCCACGGGAGAGGCCACAACAGTGAGAGGCCCGCGTACCAAAAAAAAAAAAAAAAAAAAAAAAAAATGTCTCATTTCCAGTGACAAGCCCTGGCTTAATGGACCCTGGGGGTACGCTAGGCCTCATCCTGCTGCCCCCATCACTGATGGGTTAATAGAAAAAAAAACATCTATGTAGTACATCCTGCCTTCCCAGGAATCCTGGGTGAAAGCAGAGACAACTAAGACACATTTAGAAGTTTTCTGTAATTGTCTCTCAAGGTCTCCCAACAAATGTCCACTCAGTCTGTTTTTCCAGCTCTGCATAACCTCTCCTGGAAGTCAGCTTCTGGCCCTGGCCTCAGGATGACTGGCAGAGCTTAAGAGTCCTATCTGAAGATAGGACTGCTTTTTTGACCTCTGGCTTTAAGATATCCTCCCACTTTTCCATCCCAGTCTTCAGCCCTTTCTGGGCACAGCTGCATTTTGGGAACTAGTTCCTGTACTGCCTTTATCTCATTTCACGAAATGAACTTCTGCAAAGAAGCTGGAAAGGAGGAGAAGAGGAGGGATTATCATGCAGGCGCAGGGAGGGGCGCCTAGAGAAGAGCTCATAGACTGTCTCCCTCCCTCCCAAAAAATGCAACCAGGGTCATCCACAAAGTATCAGCTCAAAAACATGCAGGGGAAGAAGAAAGGAATCAGTGTTGGGGGGTTGGAGTGGAAGGAGCCAGGCTGCCCAGAGTGTATCCTGTGAAGGCTGCGAGGAGCAGATAAGGGCAGCCCCAGAGGCAGGCGGTGAGGAGAGCAGGGCAGGGTGAGGGGGAGCTGCAGATCTACCCGCAGAACCTGGGAGAGAATGGAGCTCACTGGCCGGGGACTGTGGGAGCTTTTGCTTATCAACGGCTGTAAAATGGCTGAGCCAGAGGCCCCTGTACCGCACTTCAGGGATGCCTGGCTCCCTCCAACAGGCTTTACATCTGCCCATACCAAGGAGAAAATTAAAGAAATGCATCTGGGCACATAGAAAATTAAGGAGAACTGGAGAGAAAATTGAGAACTGTGGAGAGCAGGGATTAGGGAGGTGCAGGAGGAAGCAGATCCTGAAATGAGTCTCAACGATCAGGAAAATCTAAGTAATGGTTTGAGGGGCTAGAAGAAATGGAGAACAGGAGAGACTCCCTGCACATTATGGGGGCCAGCAAACAAGAGCTCTGGAGACCTAGTTTCAGGGACCCAGAATGATAAGGCAGTTTAACATGCAGGTTAGGACAGTGATTCTCAAACCATGGTCCCCTGATGGGGAATGGGGTGGAGGGGGTGGGGGCAGGCAAAACCTGTTAGATATGCAGATTCCAGGGCCTCACTCCAGACCTACTGAATCACAACTAGGAGAAGAGCCCAGCAGTCTGTGATTCTGAAGCAAGCTCAGGTTTGAGAACCACTGGCTTAGTGTAAGGGGCTGCTAATTGGTATAAAATGTTACCTACTATCTGTTCTTTTGTCTCTAGGAAGATCTTGGGCCTGTTAAGGAAAACTAAGGTTCCCAAGCTGGTGAGTGGTTCTTATCTACAAAGTTGCAGCAGCTAGCTCCAGTTGACTCCAGAATGGCTCTTTAAACAAATACAAAGCAAAGGACAAAGATTAAATTATATTAGCAACCTAGGAGAAGAGCCAGACTGCTTAAAACAACAGCTAGAGGTTTAGGAGGTTTTATTAATATTTAAATTGCAGTGAAACCACAGCTGCAGCTTTTGACTCCAGCATAGAGATATGCAAATGTGGCTTTCCAAAGAAAGGCAATTTCAGACAGCCCTCCAGGTAATGAGAACAAGTAAAACAAATGATTTTGTAATTTACCTTTATTGACTGATGGAGATCAAGGTACAGACAATCCTTACCCAGCCAGCGGGCCCTATGAAGGGAGAAGGGAAAGCTGGCCTGGAGGGAGAAAGGCAGGGAGACACAGAGTGATGACAGGAAAGGCCCAAGGAGGGCAAAACAGGAGGCAGGTGGGAGATGACTCAATTAAAAAGGAAGAGAAATGGGGTCTGTGGACCATCAATCTTGCCAGCTCTCAGGAGCAACAACAATAATAATCATAAGCGACTGTCAGGTGCCACACTCCTAAGTGCCAGGCACTATTCCCAACTTACCAATGAGGAAAATGGCACTTTGAGAGGTCAAGCAACTTGCCCAAGATCACACCACAAAAGGAGGTGGCAAGACTTTGAGGCAAAGATTTGTGTGAGGCTAAACTGTGCTGCGAACCAGTCCTAGGAGGTGATAACAAGGTTAATGACTGGGGGGGGCCACTACGTGCCCACCCAGTTTCGTAGTGAACTCTGTGTATGCTAGGGTTGTGGAGGGGAGGGAGGAGGAGCTTACTATTCAATGGGTGGAGCAAGGAGGCCACCGATAACCCTTGCAGAATTGTGTCTTCTGGTTCAGGAGCCCCTTGTGGGCTGTGTGGTGGGCTCTGCCTGCTGTGGAGGCACCTCACGCCTCCATATTATGGGGGCCAACAAACAAGAGCTTTGAGACTTAGTGCCGGCACCCAGAATGCTAAGGCAGTTTTGACGTGCAGCTTAATGCAGTGATTCTCAAAGCATGGTCCCCTGATGGGGAATGGGAGTGGGGGCTAATGACATAGTCTAGGAACTTGTTAGATAGCGAATTCCAGGACCTCACTTCAGACCTACTGAATCAGAAACCGGACATGGGGCCAGCAATCTGTGATTCCAAGAAACAAGCTCACGTTTGAGAACCACTGGCTTAGTATAAGGGGCAAAGCATCTCAAGCTGACTCTTGGGTAGGATTTGGCCAAGTGAAAAGCCAGGAGCTTCCAGAAGTCCCAGTTAAGAGCCCCCAACTAGCAGAATTAGGGGGAGGATCCAGAAGAAGATTTGGGAGAATCTTCTAAGGATCTATTTCTCTGACCCACCCAGTCTCCCCAGGCTGTCCCTTCTAAGCCGAAATCTATCTTCACCAGTGCCTCACCTGCTGTTTCCTTTCAGGCACCCCGGCCACCAAATAAGGGGACCCACAGATTTTGCTCACACTCTGTTTTGTCCTCAGTGAGTCCTGCTCTGCCAACTCTGCAGGCCCAAATACTGCCCACCCCACCTCCTCCACGGAGCCCTCCCCACTTCCAGGTCAGAATCTCCCCACTCTGAGCATCCCAGAAGCTTTGCTTTACTTATGATACTTTCTTCCCTCAGTAAGTTATTTTGCACATACTCTATTTTCTCTGTTTGACTAGAAGGTCCTTATAGGTAGGATTAGTATCATTTTATCTTTGTTATAACCCAGCTCTGTTCCTGGCAGACACCCTGTTGGGTACTCAATGAATTATTTGCTGAATGCAAGAGTTAAAGAATGAATGAATGGACTCATTGAGTAAAGACCTTATCCAGCTGCTAGCCCCACCTTCAAGAACTTTAGTCCTGGAAAACAGGCCACGTTCTGCCACTGAGAGTGCTAATTCCCTTCAATCCCTCCCACCCATTTTTCTAGTACCCAAATTTACTCCAAAACAAGTACGAGAGATCTAAACGTCCAAGAATCACTCTTCCTCTTCTAAGCCCACACCTACAGATTTCCTCCTTGATTCTTTTTTGCCTGTCAT